AGGGAAGGGAAGGGAAGGGAAGGGAAGGGAAGGGAAGGGAAGGGCAAAAGGAAGGGAAGGGAAGGGCAAAAGGAAAGGAATGGAAAGGGAAGAGATGGCAGGGGAGGGGAGGGAAAAGGAAAGACTTTAAATTAATGTGTGTCTGTGTCTCTGCCCCATCCCTTGTTTCTGCCTGCCTCTGCCTCCCTAGTGCTGGGATTAAAGGTGACTGCCACTACACACGGCTTACTGTCTCTTTTTAACGAGAGAAAAACAGAAAGCCCATATAGGCTCTGCCAAAAGCACTCTAATCTCATCAAACTAGACTGGGATGGTGCCCATAAGCCAAGAGCTAAAATACACTTCTGATCCATAGTTGTGCTCACACCTAGCATCACACATTGCAGAGGCAACCCTACCACAGGTGTAGTGTAGTGATTGGTTTGTCAATCTGACTGGAAAATAAAATTATTAAGGCGCCCCAGGACTGGCATGCCTCTAAAGGTACTGCCAAAGAGGAAGGACCAGGAAGTTCCAGCATGGAAGTGGACAGCACCATACCATGAAGGGAATGGATTCCACACAGATGATTGAGTAAAAGGGGGAAAGAAGGCAGCCGGCCAGCTGGCCAGCACGGCTTTCCCTTGCCCAGGTTTCCTGGCGGCCACTATGTGAACTGCTCAGCTCCACCAGACCGTCTCTTCCACTATAGTCTAAGTCCCCTGAAGCTGTGAGTCAAAATAAGTTTCCCCCCATTAAGCTGTTTGTATCTGAGATTTCACCACAATGATACAAGGAGAACGAAAAACGGGTAAACACCGGAAATACACGGAACACACGGCATAATCTCCATGTTTGAAAAGCTATGCCCCTACTCTAAAATAAACACAAATCCTGTTCCATGCTCACATAGCACTGTGTCATCAGAGCCTCCGGTGAAGTGACCTACAATAGAGAGGTCAAGAAGACAGAGCTCCAGGCACCCTGCTTAGAATCCAATTAAAACAACTTTAACTATTTTAAATATTAGGGTTCTGTTGTTTGATCGAAGAATTGTACTAAAAAAAAAGCCTGAAAACCAAATTTTTTAAATGAGCACTGAATTAGCACTTAATAACATAAGTCCCACAAAGCAGAAAGCTAGAAAAATTACTTACAAGTCCCGAATAAAGTCGAGTGTATCTTTGTCTTTAGCAATCATGTCTGCTAAAATATGCTGTACTCCTGTTTCGATATCCTTGAGCTCAGAAAGGCCTTTAGAAGGGTAGAGGGGACCAGAAGCAGATATAAGATTGGCTGTAAGGTCTATAATTAAACACATTAAACTAAATTCCAGTTCATAAATTCTTCCATTAACAAACTTAGGAGAGGAAGGTGTCGTGAGAGTAACTTGCTTTCATACCCAAAGAAACGAGTCTACAGAAGCATGTTGCAGGCCCTTCCCTAACAGGTCACGTACGGGTAAAAATGCAGCTTTAGACTCATCTGGTTGACTCATGGCTCCACCACTTACAATCCTGGGACCTAGAACAGGTTATTTGCATTCTCTGCCTCAGTTTCCCATAAATATGGAGTAATTATTATCTCCCTCATGTAGTTACAAAAATTAAATGTTGCAAGAACCAAATCTGAATCAATCATATTCCAAGACATGAGTTACAAAATTTTGCCCTCTCAAGCAATTTAGTTAAGAGTGCTATTTGAGCATGAGGCACTACCACATTGTAAGTGACCATTTGAATTTCCCAAATCTCACAAGACAATACTAGGCATTCATCTTGATGAAACCATCTACAGGCAGCACATGAAATCCTTGCAAGCACTGTTCACAGGCCCATTACAGCCCTGATTCTGATCCAGCACGGCTTATGGTATTTCATGTGCTCACAGAGAGCATCTGCCTTGCGCTCTTTCATTTCTCCCATCTTCAGTGTTGTTTTGCTGATTTAAACAAGGCTTTATCTACAGAAGCACTGAGTGTCAAGTGTATGTCTTTCTATGAACACAGTTTCCATGAGTAAAAGGTACAAAAACCAAAGAGACTTATTCGAGCATAATTAATAAAGATAAAAATACTTGGTGTGTTATAATAATTTGTGGTAACTACTGAAACAATACTTACTTTAAAAGAAATAGGAATTGAAATTAATAGAAATTCTATTTATATTTTAAAAGAGTATCTCTTGAGAAAACTTTCAGTGCCAAATTACTTTTACAAATAGAAGCCAGTATTGTTAAGGATTCGGAATGTCTACAGTACGCATTCTTGTGCTACTAGATGGATCAGGAGGTAAGAGAACTCTTCACCTGGAGCCCCCAGTACCTCAGAACATCATTACACAGAGAAATTACAACAGCGGGCCGAGAGCTCAGTAACAAAAGTGCCTTACAATGAAAACCATTACTGAAAGCTGCAAACACAAAGTACAAGTTTGCTATAACAAAGGGACTTTGAAAACCCTCATCACACTGGAGAACACCATTTGGAAGTCTTAGGCACTCAGAGAATGTTTATAATTAAAATTACACTAGTCTAAGGACTGTCCTTGGTCAAAAATACAGATTCTTGGATGACAGGAGCATCACAGATGATTCTGACAAAAGCTTTTTAAAATCACTGCAAGGGAGAGAGAGTAGCTGAGTTGCCTCTCCTCATGGTACTGGGTCTCAGCAGGAGGAAAAACTTACCAGAGTAACTTGGGCAGCCTTTTCTCATATTGTATGCCTGCGTGCTCTAGCCAGAATGACCAGAAGTTGTCTGAATGTTTGAAAAAGCTCCAGTCCCAGTTGCTCTTTCAGGCTTACTACAGCCTGCAAGGTGAGCATTTCAGAAAAATCAAGAGAGAAGGAAAACCTAAGCAGAGCAGCAGATAATAAGATCTCGATAGTGACGAAGCTGGACACGCTTTGCAATGACAACTGTGACTGTAAAAGGACACTGAAAAGCCAGTGTTTTTTTACACTTTCTCTGTACGTAGGGTTTCTTATAGCACAGAGCCATCAGGCCCTCCTCAGCACAGAGATGCCTGGACCCCAGGGCAAAGCCATCTCTGGTTCAGTATTGGTTTTCATTCCGATCAAATTCTTAGTCTGTAGTGAGTAAGAAATGTCTTCTACTGAAAAAAAATATATATCTGGTTTCTAAAAATATTTCTAGGAAGAATGTGGGAATGATTAAAATACTTCTTTAGGAAAACCTCACAGTAATAGAGTTGAAAGTAATCACGTGTATGTGTAGAGCATAAAAAGTGAGGGAAATAAGAAAAAAGAAACATTTTAAACAGAAATGTAAAAGCAGCATGGTAGTTGGAAAGAGAAATGCCCCCATAGGCGCAGGCGTTTATACTCGGTGCCTCGGTAGTGCCCGTGCCAGAAGGCCACTCACTGGGACAAATATCGAGAGTTCAAAGCCTCACCCTACACCCAGACTGCTCTGTGTGTCACACTTACTATTGGTTGCTGCTGTGGTCATGCCTGCTCCTGCCACCATACCTCCCTGTCTGGATGGATTCCTATCCCTCTAGAACTGTAAGCTAAAATAAACTCTTTCTCCTAGAAGTTTGTTCAGAAAAGTCCTGACACACAGTACTGACATAATTATCCGGAATTAACCATAATTCTCTGTATTTGTGATGAGAATCAACAAGTAAGTGAAGCCCAGACTAAGTCCTGCTGTGTCTGTAGAAACCATATGAACCTGCTGGGTCTGAGCTAGTCACATGACCTGAAGTGTCAAAGCCTGCTGTAAACCATCATGTATCCCATGTCATCATATGTGACCATCAGAAGGGATATGATCAGGACTTATGTTTACGCCCTAGACCAGTGCTGCTTTCAACCTCGGCCAGAGAAGTATCTTTTGCAATGGGCTAAAGCCTATAGAGACTCATAGGTAATAAAAGAGCTGAGAGTGAGTGGGCCCTGCATATCTACATAGACCTCAGAGAACAGAGAAAGGGGAAGAAAGAGCATAAGAGAGGGAAGACAGAGAGAAGTGCTGTGAAATGCTGTGCTGGGGACAAGACATGGCAACTGTACTCATGAATTCCCTGCAGCTGTGGTTACCCACACAAGCTCAGGCCAAGAAGACCAGTCTGTATTCCATTAGGTAGCAGTAATGGACACAGTGAGCCACACAACAACAAAACAAAAATAATAACAAAAAAAAACAAAACCCAAGGAGGAGACATGAGGAACGATGGTGGGAGGAGGCCATGTTGAGGGGTTTCCAGAGGAGTGAGGGGTGGACAGAATCACAGTATATATGGATGAACTGTCAAAGAGAAAAGAATTTCTTCGGAGATCGAAGTATCAAGACCTGTGTAGTAGGAATGCAGTATACCTGGGACCTGAAGAGACCACTGTACCAAAGAAAACTGTAAACGGAAGGCAAAGAATCAGCCCTAAGGAACAAGAGGCAGCAGGCAGACACAGGCAGTCCCCAGCCCAGCAGTGAATCAAGGCTACTAAGACTCGTCTGTCACTAAAATATGAAATGCTATCTGCAAAAGCAATACGGAGCTGCTGAAGGAAGCGCATGCACAGGACTCTGGGTCCAGTCCCCAGAACCCTGCCCATAAAGGAGATGAATAGACTTTTTAAGGCTGTAACTGAATAAACCATAGTATAGCATATCAAAAATAAAAACCTAAATGCTGCAAATCACTAAAAATATAACTATAAATGAGCATTAAAAACTAAACAAATGTGGACTGTACTCATCTCAATCCATCTCTAACTTCAAATAATCCTTTACATTACTGTCCTTTCCTGAACATATTAAAATGTACACGTGTCTATGAACAGATAGTTTGTAGTTTACAGATATAAATACTCATTTTTTAAAAAACACAAATTCAACGGGCTAGAATATGGCTAATATGCCATATTTCTCTATAGTTAACAACACAGCATGGATTTTGTTATCACAGACTGCCCCTTGTTGAGAAGTACATCTCCCAGTTTGAAAAATCAATAGAAAGTCCAAAGAAACTACAACTGGGATTGAGAAACCCAGGTGAAAGTTGGAGCTGCCCTGCAGCTGCCCGAGCTACAAAGCCTGGGAGTGAAATGTGCAGCAAGAGGACTACAGCCCATTCCACAGCACACTGGGGTCTGCTAAGGGAGTAATGCAGCTGCTCTTACCACCAAACAAGGAGAAGCAGCTGTGTGAACTGACAGACATAATAATTTGATCTCAGGTCAGTGTTATCTGACTACAAAACTCATTTAATATGCATATATATCTAGTCAATGTCTATCTTAATACATACAATTACTAAAACATAAAAGAATCAATGGTTTTTGAGAAATCTGTCATTTCTGCTTGAAGATGAGGCAAGAAAACTGCAAGTTCAAGTCCAGACTGAAGAGTAAGGCTCCAGAGAATAATAACCTTTTAAACCTTTCTCCTGTCCCCTGTCTCATTCTCTCACACACAAAGGCCAGAATACATTTGGAAGAAATTTTAGAAAAAGCCCCCTTATTATTTAGGAAACAGTGTTAAGAGCAGAAGCCAATTTGTTCTTTGTATATGCCAGAAGTATTAAGATTCTTTTTGAAGAAGAAATCTGAGTTATATGATTTTAAAAATGCAGAAATAAAAGCTTTGAAAGATAATAGAAGAATCTTTACAATCTTGGGATATTGAAGGATTTCATTTAAAAGTAAAAACATCATTATCTTAAAAGATTAATAAATTAATAATAATAATAATAAAAACCTGAGACCTATTTACTGAAGATGGCGTTAAGGAAGCCCAAGTAGGAACTGAGAAATATATGTTGTGAAAACGTCTTAGAGACACCTGTAAATGAAGAAAGAGAAGCAGCAGAGAGGGAGGTCACCAGAAGCAGAAGATTGGCCAAGACCTGTTTGTTGGCATCATTTGTTCTTCATCTGCTGTTAACAGACATGTGTACAAGCATGGGTGAAACCATGTTGAGTATGGGGATTTGCATTAAGTAGAGCAGCAGCAGGCTGCCATCTTCTGGAAGGCAGTACCTTTAACATCAGGCCTGATGTAAGACAGCAGGTTGAGCTGCCCCGGGTTCTCCAGCAGAGTCCACGCTGCTCCTTCTAGCCCCAACTGTTTTGCTCTCTGGGCTTTGGTGCCCTTGCTCCCCGTTTTATATGGAGCAGACTAGGGAAAAAGGCAGAATATATCACAGGAGTCTGTTTTACAAAGCCAAAATCAAAACAGGGATGCAGGACTAGAGGACATACTGAAAATACCATAGACATCTTTCTCTGGTCTGTCCTGTCCCCTCAGAGATGACCTCTATTAGCTAACCAAGACTATAGGGGTGCTTTGTGCCAAAGCTTTATCTTCATAGTTTTCTATGTGCTTAGTTCATTCTCTCCTTGCATTTACTGACTTTAAAACTCATCATCTGGACTGCAAGGTCCTCAAACAAGCCAGCCCGTTAGTTAAACTTGTTTCATATACTTCTTTTACTACTACCACCACCACCACCACCACCACTAAACCTCTCTGCCTCTCTCCTCTTCCTCTTCCTCTTCCTCCTCCCCCCTCCCCGGTCCTGTCCTTCTTCCCTCCCTCCTCAACCCACCACCTGCTGGCTATAGTAGTATGCTGAAGGTCCACAGCACTTCCCTAATGACAATGATGTTCAGTCTGGATCTTGCCCAAACCCCCTACTACAATTACTATTCACCACCTCGATCACAAACCTCCTTCCTCCTAATCCACTTATGTCACCTTCAGACTCTCTTCAGAGGTCTCTGATGATTTTTTTCAACATGTTCTCTAGATTCTGACTTATGTTTCAAAAGTTGCTATTTCCCTGTGGCCATACTGACCTGCTCGTCCATAATCCCCTCCTAAAGTGAATTCTTCTAGTCTCATAGCTTCTAACATGAGCCTACCAAAGAATTCATGAGGGGCTGCTGGCTTCTGTGAATACCAAGTCCCTTACAGAAAATGGTCTGGTGCTTCCATACAACCCATGTACCGCTTCCCATAAACTTAAATCATCTCTAGATTACTTATAATTAAGACACTGTAACTGGTATGTGGACACTTCTTAGGTTATATTATTTAGGGGAGGGTAATTTCTAAAAGTATGTACTTATTGAATACAGACAATGTTTTCTACTTATGGTTGGTGGAGCACACAGATGTCAAACCAACAAGTAAACAGAGTACCAACTGTTTTAGCTAGAGGCTGAAGACATTCATGTGTAGATCTCCAGTTCTGCCATCTCCCCTGCACTCCATGCTTGTAAAATCTACTCTCCTTCCTTCCTTCCTTGACTAGAAATTCCTTGAGGGCAAGGACCATTTACTACAATGCCCATAAGTGTAAATCCAAGTTCCTGGCACATACAAAAAGGCATCCAGTAAATATGCATTGGCTAAAAGATAAAATCCCTACTGAATTAAATAACACTGACTGGTGGCTTTAGCTTTTTATGTCTTAGTCTTCTTTAGTGATAAAAAGATCCCAAAACATAAACATTCAGGCATTACATTAAAAGACAAAGTTCCTTACCACATGCTCTAGTTCTTCAAATGTTTTACAGTTCAACAAGGCTTGTAGCAAGCACTCAGACATCTTCCCCTCCTTCTTAATTTTCTGGATTCTACTATGAACCTTCTTTGCAACATCCCTGAAATTAAAAACTTACATAATATATACAATCTATATGTACAACCTTTCTTTGCAAGGCTAGCTCACATTTACAGAGAAGTTGCAGGGAAAGGAAAAGGGAACTCTCAACAGTTTTGTTTTTGACTCACTTGACAGTAACTTCACCCCCAACTATGTTAGTGTGCATTTCTGAGAAAGAATAATCTACAAAACACAAGAAAGCCATCAGGATCAGGTAGTTAATACTGATCCATCACTGTCTTCTCCCTCACAGACCTGATTCGTGCTTCAACAACAGTGATGGCAATGGATTCTCTCCAGAAGATGGGTAGCTGTCAGATGTAGTCTCTCTGGCTGAAGCAATGTTCCAGTCTCTCCTAGATTTTCAAAGTCTCCATACTTTGAAATGCTTCCTACCAGTTACTTTGTAGTGTCTCCAAGTCTGGCCTCCCAGGATGTTGCCATTCAGTTAAACCCTAGGGCCTGCTGGTGAGGATCTCAAACTAATGACATTGCTCTTCTCACTGTACCTCACTGAGAGGCAAATGATTCCAGGGCAGCCTGTGACTGAGAGAATGTCATCCCTTGAGGAAACAACACAGGTTTCCAACATCAGCACTTCCTCCCCCTGTAACTAACGAATATCTTGTGGAGGGAGCCTTTGAGACTGTCTCATTCCTCACTAAGCTTCTGATGCATGCACTGATTTACTCTTATCACCTTAGACACTGGTTTATTTAGTGGTTATAATCCACCACTGTAACATATTTTACTGCCCAAATTGTCACTGGCTTAGCCAGAAGTAACCCTTTCAAGCTAAGTGCTGTGAGCTTCTAACTTGTCCCTCTCACTCTCTACACACGACACCCCAGCTCATCTTTTACTTTCCATCCTGAGCACTTAAATCCTAAGACTGACCATCAGGAAGCATCTGACCACTACTGTGCTCACTGACTCTGCAGCAAGGCTGCTCAGGACGAGCACACTTAACACACAGAACTGGCTTCTAAATACTATTCTCTATTGACAAAGAACTGGGGTTCCATAGAGAGGACATGATTCTAGGAATCAAGGCAGATGAGTCAGTACACAGCTGGGAAAGAGGAGGGGCAGGCACAGAAGAGGAGGGACAGGCACAGCAGGGGAGGGGCAGGCACAGCAGAGGAGGGGCAGGCACAGCAGGGGAGGGG